AAAAAAAAAATGGAACTACTTAGGAAAATGCACTACTTGATCAGAACTGCCGCCACTGCCGCCTTCATATTTGTGTAAAAATAAATTTCAACCAGCCTCTGTGATGGTATGCCATCGATAAGCAGGAAAGATATAGCTTTCCTCTCGGAGAACATATGATTCAGCACTCCTGAAGTACACACACCTTTCCAGATTGGAGTCATATAAAGCTGTCGGTTTAAAATATCTGTACTATAGGGGTCTTGCCCCCAAGGCCTGGAGAACCCCAATCCAGTTCATTTCACGGGTCACTCTAAATCAGGGGTCTCCAACCCTGGTCCTTGGGGAGCTCAAATCCAGGTAATCTAGTAGGTCACATTTTCAAATACTGGCAACTAACATTAACCTGTTAGTTATCGATGGATCGACCGCAGTAATCTGTTCAATTGAAAAAAAAAAAACGCTTCAGTTCTTTGGGAGCTGGAATGCTTAGATTTTAGTCTCAAATGATGTCCGGAATTAATTAAATTAATAAATCACGTCTTGAATTAAGCTGTCTTGATTTGTTTACTATCTTTAGTAATTGGGGATTTCCTGGTGGGCCCCAACACCAAGCTGGCTGTGGGCTCTTTGGAATCAGAGTGCTAGATTCCCTCTTTACTTACTAGTCTGAATCCTTCCACCCAAAATGATTGTATCGGCTTTGCTCGTTTTCCGAAATTGGTGTTCAAGGTGGAAGTTTCAAGTGCAATTTATGAACACGAACATGGCGCTTGGCCACATTAAAAAAAAAAAAGCCTTGCGGATTCCGAAAGGCCAAGCAGCGTCATAAGACGTGATTTTAGAAGTTATAGTTTATGGAACTTAGTGTTTCTAGAGCCCTGTGGAAAATGATGAAGGCGGAATCAAAGCACACCACAGACAAAAACTGAGTTTTGAGCTGCGCCTGCAGCTATTTGGGTTGTGATTGAGCGCGTTTTCAGCTATTTCTCCTGTTCGCTCCACCGCTGAATGGACGTCGCAGGTCTTCACAGAAAGTTCAACCTGTGTGAAACATCCAGAAAGGCAACGGAAAAAAAAACTCGGGAAATGACAGTCGAACCGGTTCGAGGTTTACGTCGAAAAAGGGGTTGAAATTCGCCCGCAGAACGCCAGCAGTTAGTAAACGGTCGAATTATAGTGATTTGGTTAGGGCATGTGGACAAGGAGAGGAGTAAAATATTACACTGACAGGTGTGTATGAACAATTCAAGTGTCGGTGCTTCTAAACTGGGAAGTACGGCGGCGAGCGCTTGAAGGAGCATTTGGAAAGCGCCTCGCCTCGGCCTTCATAGCCCTCCCGTCACGCCGACTGCCGGCAGCGTTCACACAGCTCACAGCTTCGAGGTCGGAGCTGCTAATATCTTTAGAAAAAGGCTCTATTAACCGATAACTGGTCTGATATGTCTTTTTGATTGAAAAAAATAACATTTAAGAGCCGAATGGTTTTTTTAAGTGTCATTATTATTATTATTAAGCAATCCGAGTTCCTGCGCTTGAAGAGGCTGCCCAAGCGCTATTAACCCCCAGCTGGTAGACATGAGGCGAGTGGCGAACGATTATATCACTGTACTTTTTTTTTCTTTACACTTGTTTAATGGCAGAGGAGTGTACATATTTGTGAGGATGGCAACTTTTCTTTTTTGACGAGAATAAAAATGTGAAGACTGGTAGCATTTCGTTTTTCGTTATTGGTTCGTGGTCGGTCATCTGACATTTTCATCTTTAAAGTGGTTTGTCCCCCCTGAATTTTCTCTGTGAGACCATTTCAAAATAAACTATAGATGCACACGGAGGTTTCTATATACCTGGATGGGAGACCTCCTGGGAAAAACTAAGGTTGCTGCTGGAAGAGGTGTTAGTGGGAACAGCAGGGGGACGCTCACCCTGCGGTCCATGTGGGTCC